ACGGTAGCTATTGATTGCATTATTTTCCTGGACTCTTTAACAGAGCCGTTCTGCAATATTATCATCAAAGTGTCGCGTTGGCTAACCTCTTAGATACCGCTTCTCCTATATCTCTCGATATAAGAATATAACCTGAGGAAGTCTAACTTGCCCTCAGAAACCTTTCTCTTTCGGTGTGAATGATTTAACATTCATTAGTGTTACTCATGCCAGCATCCTCACTCCAATTATCTCCAAACAATAAAATACTGCTCTTCATTGATATTGGACGCTCTGCTACTTATTAGTATCAAGTGTTTGATACTATACAATGGTATTAGTGTATTGATTAAGACCCGGTATATCTTCGGCGCACATAACCTAGACCACTGAGCTGTTACGCTTTCTTTAATTGATGGACGCTTCCAATCCCACAACATGGCTGTATTAGGTTACATACTTCCTTAATTTCACTTGTCAATAGCTTTGGGACCTTAACTCATTGTTTGGGCTGTTTCCCTCTTGTCATAAGACCTTATCACCCTACGACTCACTGCCAACAAATACTTATGATCATTCCGAGGTTAACTGACCTAGATAGGACTTTCACATCCCCCTAGTCGACCTTCCATACAATGGAAAGTATGTCAATCAGTGCTGTACCTACCATAAGTTCTAGATTGACGCTGCACTGCAATGCATTTCGCAGAGAACCAGCTATCACGACGTTAGATTAGCATTTCACTCCTAGCCACAGGTCATCAGAGCACTATGCAACGTACATCTGTTCGGACCTATATTCCTGCCCATGGCTAGATCACGTCGTTTCGGGTCTAATAATACAGACTTAACCCATCGATGCGCTCGGCTCGATAGTCGCTTTCGCTTGGACTTTTAATCTTGCCTGCATTATTAAGTTGCTGACCCATTATGCAAAAGGTACGACATCATAACTTAATACTCTGTCTGCTTATAGGATTGCTAGTTCAGGCTCTATTTCACCAGTCATCGACTTGCTTTTAATCTTTCCTTCACAGTACTCTTCACTATCGCTAAACACATCATACTTAGCCTTGGAGGATGGTGCCCCCATATTCGGACAGGTTTAATGCCGCCCTACTCACTCACTGCTCCTTTTGGGAGATGAGCTAGATATAATAAGTAGTAATATCCACAGGACTATT